AAAAAAAAAGAAACCCCTCTCCTCCCCCCCCGTTTTAACATTTTACAGAATGTTGCCTTAAGGCTTTTCAGTTTTCTAAAGCAAACGTGAAGTTTCCGAGGGAAGCAGGTGTCCCACAAAACTATTCAACAACTCAATTTTCAGTTGGAAAATGTTTTGATGCTAAATATTCCCCCACCCCTGTTATCAGCATTTGGAGTCTAAATAACATCTAGATTTGCCTTTAAGCTGCAAATATATGGCAAAAAGATAAAGCATTGTATCAAAAAAACAATTTAAAAATTGCAAAGCATTACATTTAAAAAACATAAAGCAAAGCATTTTTGTCTCTTTCTTTTTATTCCAGAAAGTTCAGCAATACATAGTCATCGTTCAGGCTACAGATATGGAAGGAAACCTTAACTATGGTCTCTCAAACACAGCAACTGCAATCATTACGGTGACAGATGTGAATGACAATCCACCAGAATTCACTACCAGCACTGTAAGTATCAATACATCAGCACAATGATGCATGGACATGCAACGTGTTTGTAATTCATGGACATTTGATATCACTCGTCTCTGTTTGCTGGTCTGGCAGACAGAAAGGACTTGATAGATAACTGTGTAACAAAGACTTCCAGCAAAAGGAGGGGGGAAAAGGAGAATGATTCATGAACTAGCAAAACTATTTGGCTACCAGTTTCACTGAGGTATTAAAAGAGCTGAAAGAATATGGCAAGCAGACTGTGTCTGATTGCACCAAGGAGGATACAGTTGTTTCACAGCAATTGGTTGTCGACATATCAGAGTTATTACTTTGGAGTTAAATCCTGAGCTACAAGAGATTTCTTGGATTTAGTAGAGTGGATAAAATTTCAATAGTAGTAGTAAATAGTCTGAATGGGAACAATTATCCAGTAAATTGTATAATTTTCCTGATAACTATAATAGACTTATTTGTGTGTATGTGTAGGTAGTATAAGTATCTGTACTATGACACATCTGTTTTTCATCAGCTGAGCATCTTTCATGTATTAGTGCAATAAAAGTGTTTATTATTCTGTGCTTTAAGACTATTAATCTGGCTTCTTTGTGTGGAGGGAGAAAATGCAGAGGCCGAGAAAATGCGATCTAAGGGTACATAAGAAAAGGTGAGAGGTAAAATGACTTACTCCATTTCTTAACAAAAAGATTTGATTAGTGATCAACATTTGATCAGGGATCTAAGTAGTGCCGTGTCCTAAACGTGCACAGTGATGTCATGAAAAATGAAACTGACGTGGGTTCTCGTATGACAAAGTAAGACCGATAAACGGGGAATTAGTAAGTTTCCACTGTTTACATTAGCGTGAGTGTTGTCTGTCGAGCCAGATTTCACCAGCTAGGGGAAAATAGATTTTTAAATGAAAACAGGCCTTTTCCTCGTCTGGTGACCAAAAGCGGCAGTAGGGAAACAGGGCTGCAGGCTTTTTCCTCAGCACCATGCACAGCCCAGTCTGCCCTGCAGTCTGTCACTTGAGTGCTCTTTTAGGTGTATAGAAAGGATGTGCATCATATCCTAGGGTGCTCCGTTTTCACTCCATCATATATGGTATTTCAGTATTTCTTACTGTAGAGCAGATGCTGCCTTTGGTTCCACCTTCCAAGCTCCAGTGGGTTTCATGGTTGTTGCCAAAAAACACAGTTTGCTCAATACTTAGCTGACATGTATGAGGTGCCAAGAGCATCATCTGAGGTTCTGACTTCCTTCATCTCCCATTGCCTTCAGGGAACTCGGCACTGCCCAGGAAGTCCCTGAGTAGTCCCAGTATCTCGCCTGCGAGTCGCAGGGGCACAGCTCACCAAAGCTATTTAGGCACTTAACTCCTTCTTAGGCGCCTAAATCTCAGGGAAGATTAAATCAATGGGAGAGTTGAAATCACCAGGAGGTAAACAGCTGAAATGAGAGTACTCAGGCCTTCAAAGGCACATAGGTCCCTAAGAGGAGTTAATTGCCCTTGAGGATCTGTGCCTCGGTCTGCTGTAAATGTTATCCCAGCTTATATAGTCGTGGGCCATATGGTCCTAGTCCCTGCCAATAGGATTGCTCCTTCTTGTATGTTTTATAATGGCTTGCCCAATCTGATTTGCAACATCCCAAGCCTTGGACTTCATGCCAGAAAAGGGTGGGTGACGCCGATGCTTCTGGGGCCCCCTTATACTGCCAGGTAAATACTTCTTTAATCTTCATTTCAGTGAAAAAGTGATGACATCTAGTGGCCAAGTCGCTTAAGCACAGATGGAGGATCTTAAAGATTGCCCGGGCTCTGTCTCCAACTTAAAAGTTCATTTATGGAGTTTAAAGTTACTGTCATCGCTCTGGCTCCAGTGCTAACCAGGTTATGAGTAGCCATGTGACCATGTGACAGTCTTCCGGACGAAACCTCTTTGTATCGTGATTTTTGTAGGAGGGAAAGGGCTCTATAATATAAAACCAGCCAGAACTGTTTATGCAGGGCTGAATTTCATAGAAGGGAAGTTCATGGGGAATTGCATTCAGATGAACTTGGAGCATTTAAAGTCACAGCATGTCAGACCCAGGAAGGAGAAAAGCCACCAACACAATTACCCATAGAATCAGGTTTAATGGGTCAGAAAATGCTATGCTTCCTTCAAGCAGGAATGATGGGTGCCATTATTTCCCTAATTCCAATCTCTAAATGGAGTTTTGTGAGGGCCAGAAGAGCCTTCTCCAGTATTAAGGGGGACTATACCTATTTCAAACCCGAAGCCATTTTACAATGATATTGCCTTGTGGTGCTTTAGTAAAGATGACTTTCTGTATACTCTCAGATACTGTCAGAATCCCTGTACAAGCGGCTCCAAAAACAGAGTAGCATCATTTCTTGTGATGGGCATAGGAACATTATCAGTCTGTTCATTCATCTTAAACCTGAACTGAATTCCCTTGTTCCCCTCAATGACTCTGAAGTGTATTTTAATGCCAAAAAGGGAAGGGAAAAAAAGAAGAAAAAAAGCTTCCAATAAATCTACATCGCTTCTGAAGGTAAAGAAGCATCCCATGTTTCTTAAGACTAGGGTCTGTTTTTGAGGGATCGAAGCATATTGTTATTTAAAGTACTTCTGCGCTGAAATTCAATCGAGAAACAAAATAGGCAGAACAACTGCAATAGCAGTTTGCTCTTGGCACGTTGCCAGATGAGGCAAAATCAGGAACTATATTCAGCACAGAAATATACAAAAGTACACCCTATAGTGTTCCTAAATTACCTGTCATTCAAACTGGGTGGTTTTAAACTTAATAGTTTCTGGATATAAATGTAGCCCAGGAGGACACTGGAACATGCTGGTGTCACAGCCCGTGTGTGGAGCCAGGGGAATTAATGCAACTGTGTAAACTTTAACAACTGGACAGAAGAAGAAACAAAACAGCCATGGTCGCAGTCGGAAACAGGGGTCATCTGTGCAACTGGGGCAAATAGTTTGCTTGCACTTACAGATTTCACTGTAATTATACAGCAAATACAGGCTCAGGTGCAAAGGGCAGATTAATGAGTGCCAGTCTCACACATCAAAGTAAGTGCCTGGCCTTTATTATGATTGGAAAAGGTATTAAAGAGCACCCAAAAAAAATCATGTGGTTGTTGTCGTAAAAGCTTTGTGCTAGATGAGGAAAGAAAGGGAAGCCATACAATCGGGCAAGAGCTCCTGAAACCTATAAAATGAAAATGCTATGATAAAAAACCAGGAGTGACTGGTTTCTGAAAGGAAAGCGGGGCAGTTTATTTATCCTGGCCCTTAGTATATCACCTGGGAGGCCAAGGAGAAGGAGGCAGCTCTATAATATAAAAAAAAGACCTCTGCTTTCTCTTGTGAAGCCCTGCAAGAGCAGGATTTGCCATCTCTAGGTAGGAGACAGGATTTTTCAGTTACTGGGAGCAATGGGGAAGCAGCATGTCAGATGTCGGCCACCGACGGGGGAACCAGGAGACTGAAACTATGCGGTACCCTGTAAACACTGAGATACTGGTTGATAGATACTTAACCACGTCCTATTTAGTACAGGGCCGTGACCCACCAAAAACCTTTCTGCCAACTCAGGGACATTAGGAACCCCTGCTTTTTTTCATAGGCTCTTTATAGGATTTGAACTCTCATCATTGGGCTTTAGGGCAGTGGTTTTCAACCTGTGGTCCAGAGACTCCTGGAGGTCCACAGACCATGTCTGAGGGGTCTGCGAAAGACGACCATGATCAATGAAAAGTATGTGAAGAACCACACTTACAATCCAAAGGGGTCCACACCTCCACTGGAACTTTTTAAGGGGTCCACAAATTAAAAATGTTTGAAAACCACTCTTCTAGGCATTCAAATCTTCTGTCCTCAAAAGAGCAAGGGGTGCAGCACTGGCAATAGTCATGCAGCTTCTTCTGCATTGCCCGAGCAGTGTGCATTAGCTCTGTCCTGTAGCGTCCCCTATGCCTTTTCTACCTGAAGTGCCTTCAAAATCGACAGAGCCAAGTCTAGCAGTGGTGCTTGGGTTGGGGACCTGTCTCTTGGAAGAGGTGAGCCACATCCTCAGCTGGTTTAAATTGCTGTAGAGTGAAATAAGTCAAAAAGTCCACTAGGGACTTTTATTAGGAAACTGATTCAAGGATAGTCACAGAAGAGTCAGATGTTCGATTCTGTATAATGTTCAACCTCCTTCTTGTCCATAAGTGGGCCATATTCCCTGACACTTTTTAAGTATATGGGTAATCCCCCAGTTAGTCCAAATATTTCTTATCCATGCTTATCCAGCAGCCATAAGGACTGGAATCGCTGCAGTTGAAATGTACTTGCATAGATCTTTAAGACCCCCGACTAGATCCTCCTGTTAGATGCATCAAATCTAATCTCAAAGATTAACAAGAGTTGCTGGGACCTGCAAATCGATGAGCATTGTGCTTCTGAGATTACAGCTGGGATCTGGCAGGGCAGTGCTGGGTAGTCTCCGGTGGGCTTGCTATATAGAAGCCACTGAAATGGTAGAATTGTCCCCCTGTTTTGTTTTATGCACTGAAAGACAGCAGTGAAATCTGTAACTGCCTGCCAGGCAGGATGCCCTTCTGCAGCTCAACCCAGGATACAATTAATTGCTGTCCGAGGGTTTCCACTTTATCTGCGTAAATGCTTAATCAGAGAGGAGGAGGAAGTAAAGGGAGATCCATGCCCACACTTGACTCATATAAAGCCTATTTTTATCATATTCAATCAGGAACAATCAGGCTTGGAGAGAGGAGACGCAGATGAATTTGCATGATCAGACTTCTGTGTCTTAAATGTTAATTAAAAGTTATTTTAAATTTGCCTACTGTGCAGAACTTGTTTTTATAGTAGCCCATGCAAGGGAAATATTATTTCACCAGACTGAAGTGCTCATGATTAGCAGAGCTGTGGATTCATGGGAAAACCTGCCTAGCAATCAACCTTTCCTTTAGGAAAAAAAAAAAAAAGTAG